TGCACTTCCAGTCGTATTCCCTGGTGCTGGTCCTTGTGTACGGCTACCCGTCAGTGGGCATGAGGTGCGGCACCACCAACTATCAACGTTTTCATCGGTTAGGAGGCTTTCTCAATGCGTTACAGTTACCTTGGTTGTGCATTGGAGATTTCAATATGGCTTCAGAGATTCTCCAGACATCTCAATTCCTCGCGCGGGTTCATGGTAGGATTCGCAAATCAGAAGCAGAGTACACGTGTACAACAGCGAAGGGAGCCTCGCACATCGACTACGTCATCACAGGTCCTGGAGCCGAGAGTTTTGTCGTCGACCTTCGTGCCGATCATAATGTTCCTTGGGGGCCGCACTGTGGACTGCGTTTGAGGTTGCGTCACAGCTGCCAACAGTTAGTGACACGTTCGCTCATTGTTGCAGGCAAACTCCCACAGGTGAGTCGGCCAGGCACTCTGCCAACCCCAGGTTCCAAGAGTAGCAAAGCTAAAGCAGAGAAGGCGTGTCGCGTAGCCATCGCCAAGGAAAAATTTGTCGATGAATCGCTCGAGCTCTTCGGGGACATGTTTCAGGACCCCGATGAAGAAGGTGCGCGTGAGTTTTTCCCTGAGCCTTGTGTTTCTGAAGCTTTTGCTCCCGTCGAAGGCGAGGAGGAAGAGGATCCGTGGGCCGAGGAAACCTGTTTTATTTCGGCGTTCTCTGGTCCGTCGGAGGTCGTGGGAACCTCTGGAGAACCATTGGCCGATAGTAGCTCCTCAGTCGCACCTAGGGTCTCAATTGCAGTGTCAGTGTCCGCTGTCGACCCAGGTCCGCCCCACTTGAGTGACAAGTTTCAGCCTGAGCCCGTTTCAGAGCCCCCCAGCAACAGCAGCTTAGATAGTTTAGCTGGTCAAGCTGAGTGTGCCCCTGGAAATAATGAGCCCGTTGTTGCTGAAGCGTCGCCTCGGAACCCCGAGTTCCAAGTTCCGTCGGACCGTTGGGTTTTGGCTCAAACCTGTTGTGGATCCAGCTTCATCCCATCCGATAGCAATGAAGTTTACACACACTGGTCTGCCATTCATGATTCGCTAGCAGTGCGAGTTGGAGGGCCTCACGTTCGGCACGTCTCGGCACTGTATGCTAGTTGGGTATCTACCCTAGAGGCGACGATATCCAGTCATCACGGTTTACCTCTTAGTTTTGTCTCTCGCGCGGCCGACCCTCACCTTCGGGAGCAGCGCGTACAGCAGGCGGCCACGTTTCGAGAGGCTCCCCTTCAAGACAGGGTTGCCAACTGGTGGTCGCGAGTCGTTCAAGTTCTAGTGAAAGTCTCTCGGCATCGTGAACGGGGGAACGGAGCCAGGCAGCTTGTTTATCTTCGAGAACTTGGTGTTCGACTTGGCACTGACTACCCCGAGGGGGTTCATGCAGTGCTCCCTTACAACGACAGCGGTGATTGGGAGCATTGGGTTACTTTTCTTTGCAACAATTTCAGCTTTGGTGGAAGGAGTCTTGACAGTTTCTTGCAGGTGGCGCAGCGAGCCGCCAAGAGAGCTGCGGCCAAAGCACTACGGCAGTCGTTATCGGAGTTCAAAGAGTGGGTGTCGTCATCGGAAGCGTCAGGGGTATTGCACAGGAGTATCAAGGATACGCCTACGGTCACTGACGAACTCTTTCACAATGGCGAATATCTTTTTCATCCCAAAGATGTCATCGATGCGAAAGCCACCAAGTGGCATGAGTTGTGGTATGACCCTGAGTTCAGCATCGACGAGTTGCGCACCGCCTTCGCCGACATGAGGGAGTGGGCCCGCATTCAAGGGCTCGCACCTATCGACGGCGACGAGGTACGGCAAGCTGCAGCTCGGATGAAAAGCAAAGCAGGCCTTGGCGTTGATCAGCTGACGCCTCTGGACATCCAGAGGCTCCCTTCGGAAGGACACGACGCCTTGGCTGGAGTTCTCAACATGATCGAAGACACGGGCACATGGCCCACTCAATTATTATGTGTCTTGGGTCGTCTTTTACCCAAGAAGGCGGGTGGCGATCGGATCATCGGTCTGCTGCCCATAGTATGTCGGCTGTACACCCTCATTCGGGAGCCTTACACTAAGCGCTGGTCCACTGACACAGCGACGGAGTGGGATGCTGCAGTGGCCGGCAACTCGGCGCTGCAGGAGGCTTTCTTGAAAGCAGTCGACCAAGAGTTATTCGTGAAGCTTGGGGTGTCCAACGGGTGCGCCTTATTAGACCTCAAGTCCTTCTATGACATGATCAGGTGGAGCAAGCTTTCCGACGCGGCCATTCGGCTGGGGTTTCCTGGCATAGTGCTGCTGTTGGAGGTTCAATTATGTACGGCGCCGAGAGTCTTGGCGCAATTTGGGGCTCATGCAGCCCCTTTCCAGCCCACCAGGAGCATCATTCAAGGGTTAAGGAATGGGGTACGATTCGGGCGGTGCCTAACCCATTTCATCCTGGATAGGCTCTGCACAGCGAGAATCACATCGTCCCAGCGTATATGGGTGGATGACTTATACTTAGGGCACAAAGGGTCTCGCCTAGCAATCCGCAAGGCGCTCGTTCAAAGTGTGGTGTTGGTCCGAGATCAGGTCGTTCAAGCAGGACTCAAGTTGGCGCCCAAGAGTGTGATCTTATGTGACAGCATGAGTGACAGCAAGTATGTTTCTAAAGTATTGAAGAAGAAAGGGATCGATATTCAGGCAGTTCTTCAAGTGAGTTATCTCGGAGTTGACTTAGGCGGTGGTCGCAGAGTTGCCAGGTCATCACGGAGGGCGCGCACTCAGAAAGCCACCGCCTGCAACAAGAAGCTGAGGCGACACGCATTCGCGTCGAAGTGCTACGAGGCGACGAAGAAAATTGAGTTCGCAGGGCCTCAGGCAGCTGCGACGTATGCTCATCATGTCCATGGTACGTTCGGGTGGCGTCTGCAGCAGCTCAGGCGGCAGCTAGGTTCAGTATCAGGGGCGCACCAACGAGGGCGGTGTCTCACAACGTTACTCGATGTACGTGCACCTCAGCAAGATCCAGGAGTTCGGTTGCCTTTGTTATGCTTGAATCAATGGCTCAAGACATGGTTTGAATACCCACAGATACGTGCAGGAGTCCGTAGAGTGTGGGATGACGTTGTCAAGCAAGTGCGGAGCTTGTCAATTCATGAGCGAGGTAGATATATTCACGGGCCAATCTCTGCGATAGTCACATACCTGGTCAACGCAGGTTGGGATCCTCGGTCGCCGTCGCATTGGTGTCGGTCTGACGAGTTCGGACTCGAGCCCGTCGACTGGATCTTTCAGGACAGCAGTATCGACCAGCAGCACGTTGACACAGCAGATTTCTTATTTGATTTTGGGCAGAGCCTTGATCTACAACAGTGGCGGGCTGCAGCCCAACTTCATCATGGAGCCGGCCTGGAGCTCGGGGCTGATAACGATTCCCTTCGACGGCTGCTCGTTCGGCTCCGTGCAGGGCCTCATGGCCATCAGCTCGCCGAACTCATGTTGACGATCAGCACAGGAGGGTGTTGGACACGCACGAGGAAGTTCGAAGCGAAGTTGTGCAAGTCCAATTTGTGTCTTCGGTGCAAGCAGGAGCCCGAGGACATGAGGCATCGAGTGTGGTTATGCAACGCTAACATTAATGCCAAGGCTTTCACTGACTCAGATAAGTTGGTACCAGCAGCCTTGGCACAGGGCGACAGTGAGGCATGCCTGTGGTATCGTGGGCTGATTCCTAGACATTTGACGGCTACGCCAGCACCAGCGATGCAAGAAGACTGGACAGCTGTTGATCTGGTATGCCCACTTGGAGCTGAGTGCCTTGGCAGGGGCACGCTGGCTCAACCTTTACTCATTTTCGGCGACGCTTCAGGGGGGCCCGAGAGTCGGTTCCCATCGCTGAGGAGAGTCGGCCTGGGCTTGGTTGTGATGACCGACCCCATCGCCATGACCATCGGGACCTAGATTGCAGGGCCGCTAACTGGACGAGTTCAGTCTGTGCCGAGAGGTGAGCTTCGGTGTCTGGAGCTTGCTATAAGATGGTCAGCAGGTCCGACGGTGTACATTTCGGATAATGAAAATGTTGTGCGTGGGTGGCACGCTCAGCAGTATCTCAATCCTGGGAAGAGTGAGATGAGCAGCTTGTGGGCGGAGATCGGAGTCCTGGTTAAGCACAGGGACTTCAGCGAGATCGTCGTCCTGCACGTCAACTCCCACCAGACAGCCCAGGATGTGTGTGAGAAACGGACTCCCGAGTGGTTGGTGCGCGGTAATGAAGTGGCTGACGCCATTGCCTCGGGTGCTGCTGAGCGGTGTAGGTTGCCTAGCAGTGTTCGTTCTAGGATCGCGGAGGTCGAGGGACGAGCTGCTTTGATCAGGCGGAGGCTCCTCAGGGCCACTTTGGAGGCCACGGCCGCCGAGCGCGAGGAAGCGAAGATTTCTGCGATCGCACCTGGTGGTCGTGTCTCTTCGGCCCCTGCCCCGCCGCCGCCCTCCCCCGCTGTCGTAGCCAGGTTTAATACTGCACACACGCTTAGCGAATGTGGGTTTAAGTGTTCCACGTGCCGTAGTAGCGGCACGAGGGCCACCCTTCACGAGTGGCTTGAATCCCCTTGCGAGCCTCTAGAGCACGTTGACTCTGTGGTGTCTAAGGGGCCTAGACGTAAGCTGCACTTAGCTGGGGGGTGGGCTCACGAATCTCACCGTATGTTGTTTCATCAGTCACTCGGGGTCTGGATCTGTGGGGTTTGCGGGTTTTTCTTCACGGCCAACCTACAAGCGGGGCTCAGGCAAGAGTGTCTTGGTTCTGATTCTCTCAATGATACGAGACGGTCTTATCTGGACCGTTTCCATCGAGGTGTGTTTCCCAAGCCTCTAAGTGCAGCCGAACGGGCTGCACGGCGGAAGCCTGGGGGGTAGTTGCTCTCTTTCATTGACATCGTCATGTTGCTATTCCTATTCCTATTCCTCCTCCCTCCTCTCCCTGTCAAGATGGCCCCCAGGACCTTATCCCCTTTACGGCCCCTCGACATGCCAGAATGCCGCCTCTGCGGCATATAGCTTCGCGAAGGGGGGCCACCGTGGCTGCCGCTTCAGGCAGGCTCAGCACACTGCAAGTATGGGAAAGCGGACGAGCATGCATATGTAGCGCGCTTCGGGGGGTGGGGCCATGAGGGGGGGAGGCAGGCGGGAGGAGGGATGAGGACTGAGGCACAGAAGGGAGGTGAGGGATGCTGATGAGAGGGAAGGGGGGCGAGGATGGCGAGGAGGGCGAGGAGAGCGAGGAGGGCGATGGGAAGGAGCCAGAAGTAGAAGGCTTCTGCCCCCGAGGCCTGCTCCGGCGCGAACAGCACCCCCGAGGCGACCTTGTGGTAGAGGCTTGAGCCCTGCACGTCGACGAGGACAACTGCGACCTCTGGCGCCACCTGTGGCTCAAGCGGCACTCGTCGTCCCCAGAACTCCGAACGCGTGACTTCTCACATCGTCGACCCCAGGGGCCTGCACCCCTTCCCCAGGATCAGGTTCTCATCCCGGGCTGTTTTCTGACGGCCACGAGGCCCGACGAGGGCCCTAGGAGACTGACAACGGCAGAAAAGAACTCCCACCATGACTTTTTCACGACGGGAAGATGTGGGGGTCTCCAGGCGTCCTCCGCTGAAGCGCCAAGGGCTCTTAGTCTGAACGCCCACCGCCCGCCGAGGACAGCAGGCCGTGTCGTCGTGCCCTTGGACCGCGGAATCGGTGAGGCGCGGGAGTGGTCCGGTTGGCGGCTCTGGTGCCACTGCAACTGAAACCCCTTATCTTTAGCGTCCTCCTCCTCCTCCTCCTCCTCCTCCTCCTCCTCCTCCTCCTCCTCCTCCTCCTCCTCCTCTTCCTTGTCTTGACCACACGCCTTGACAGCGCCCCCTCATCTCTAGCAGTTGTCTCCTCCTGGACGTCCCTGCTGGATCTGGCCAGCGAGCTCTGAGCGGTCAGGAGGGCGGACAAACAGCCCCGCGAGAGCCCCAAGTGGCCCCAGACACATACCAGACTCCCGAAAAAGACCTAAAGAACAGCCCCAACAGGCCTTCAAAGTTTCAAGGCAATTAACTCCCCAATGGTTTGGTATGAGCGTTGATTGCTCGGTTCTTCGGTCTTCTGGACGTCCGAAACCGCCAAAAAAGCACCGAACATCGTCCCAAAACGACTCTGAAAGGTCTGCAGACAACCCCCCAAAAAAACATGACTAGCCAACAGAGCCCCAAAATGGCCCGCCCCATGACGGCCCAAGATGGCCCCAAGACCCCACCCGAAGCACGCCAAATCATGACCCAGTCGTCGAGGAAGATCGTGGCTTGCAGCAAAATTGTAATATATCTATATATATATATATATATATGTAACACCCAAACCATCCCAAGGGCGAGAGGCCTCCAGAAACCCACAAGAAATGCATAAAAAAGGAGTCGTGTGGCCCCAAGCTTTTCCAGGAAGAGCCCCCGCGACAAAAATGTTACCCAGCGTGGACCCCTACCAATAAGCCGTTGCCATCTACGCGGTGTAATTTATGTGGTGCAATGTATGCGATGCACCCTCTGTATTGCAATCTACGCGGTGCAATCTACGTGGTGCAATTCACCTGCCGAAGTGGAAGTTGTCAACTCCACTGTTCGCGCAATTATCGCACCCACCCACCCGCAACTTGGTTCGCAAAACCCATGCGGGAGCGACTGCGATAAGTGCTGGGTGTTGGCAGGTGCATCTCTGCGGCCGCGCTGGCCCGCGCATGTTAGCGCACGCAGCGGCCATGTAGTTTGGCGCGGCCGACGCGAACGCGGTGGCCCTGACCGCTCGGCACATCCCAGCGGGCACTTCAGAGCGAGTCGGCGACTTGGGCGGGCGCGGTATCAGGGCAACGTCGACAATGGTAGACACGATGATGATAGTAGCGATGCTGGCGGCGATGCTGACACCGACGACGGGGCAGCCAGTGACGGTGCCGATGCTGATCACGCCGACGACGATGACGGCGCCTTCGCGTCGGCGACGAAGGTTTTTGAAAGGAATTCGAAATGCGCGCGTGGCAGACGCGCGAGAGTGGCTCGCATGGCATTATACGACACGGATCGTGCCAACCCAGCACGCGCGCAATTTCGTCATGCGCGCGCGAAGCCCGTTTGGTAGCATGGTATGACAATGTTGAAAAACGCATGGTTCTTTTAAGAATTCGCAAATGCGCGCGCACGCTTTCGTTGAAAATCCGTGTTGCGAAACCTTGTTCTTTTTGTTTTTCGGGCACTCTTTTTTTGAATCCTCCCGAAACCCCGAAGTTTTTGAAGGATTTTGGCATGCGCGCGCGACGACGCGCGCATGTGCACTTCGTCACTTTTGTTTGCAATGACTTCTTGGAAACGTATGATTTCTTATAAACGAGTGCGCGCATAGTATCTGTTGCAAGGGAACCGAGGGGGCGATACAGGCCTGGCTGGGATAGTATGGATTCACAGGTAGGATGGACAGTGGGTCAGGAGAAATTGCGTTTTGCATAGGCTCCCGAGAAGTCGATAGGTCCGGGGGGAGGGTGGTGGAACCTATCTCCTGTTTAGGAAAGATGACATATGCGAGGATGCAACCTATGCACTGCAATCCATGCAATACAGTACATGTATACGATGCTTTCTATGTGGTGCAATGTATGTGGTGCAACGTATGCGATGCAACCAATGTAATGCAATCTACGCGGTGCAAGGCACGCAATGCGGCGACGGCGACGGGCGGCGCTGGCGGCGACGCGCGGGGACGGCGGCGATGGGCGGCGACGGCGACGGGCGGCGACGGGCGGCGCGGCGGCGATTTTGCGGCGAGGGCCCCGAGATGGCTAACCGAAGTACGATTCTCCCAATCGCGCGCGAGAGAGAACGGTCTCCGCGCGGGCGCGCGGCACGCGGGCGCGCGAGCAGCCCCAAAAGCGGCCCGGGCCGACGCGCGCGCGCGAACCGAGCGGCACCGCTCAGGCGGACTAGGTCACGCCCGGTCGCCCGAGAGGGCGAATTCGCAGCGCCTCAGGCCTCAGGGAAGGGGGGGGGGCCGAGAAGCTGCAGAGAGCGCCGAAGCGCCGCGAGGACAAGAATAAGAAAGACATTCCCCCAATCGCGCGCGAGAGAGCAGTCTCCGCGCGGGCGCGGGGCGCGCGGGCGCGCGAGCAGCCCCGGAAGCGCCCCGGGCCGACGCGCGCGCGCGAACCGAGCGGCGCCGCTCAGGCGGGCCAGGTCGCACCCGTCGCCCGAGAGGGCGAACGGGCGAATTCGCCGATCCCGGGATCAAAGACCTTGCGAAGTGGCAAGGCCTTGGTGGGCGGCCCCTACACTCGAGAGGATTCGCATCCAAATAGGTAGCCACAAGGCGGTCGCTGGCAGTAGCGAAGAAAGCTCCTGGGTACGCGCGGCCTCGGGGAGGGCACCCAGGTCGCTGGGGGCGGCGGTGCCCGAGCCTCGCGGGCAAGAGGGCGGCAGAGCGCCGCGGGCAGACCGCCGTTGGGAGACAGGCACGCCCAAGGCCCTCAGCAAATGATTCCACCGAGCGCGGAAGCCGACATGCCCACGCGGGGCGAGCGGACAGGCGGGGCTCAAACTACCGAGCACCATTTCCCAAATCCATGCAGGCGAACTGCCCGAACAGCGCGCGTGCTCGCGCTGGGCCCGACGGTGATCAAGCGCGGCAATAGAGGGGATGGCGGCGCCGGACGCGCCTCCACCCCCACCCTCACCCGCGCCCGGACGGTCGCTCGGCACCAACAAGTCACAACAGCGCGCGGACAATAATTCCTCTGGCCTCAAGGACATCGCGAACCCCATGAGCAGCAGGGCTGCCGATAGGGGTCAATCCCATGAGAAGCATAAGCCTACCATCGCACGTAAAAGAGCGCGGGGCAGGCGCGTCGAATCTCCCACCTCGGAGCGGAGACCGCGCCTGCCGGCGGCGAGAAGAACTTCGCTGGGGCAGCCCATGCCAAGCGAAGAAATCGACCTAGAGGTGGCCTCGCTGCGCGCCGCAGGCGGATGCGCTGCCGGGGCGGACGCTGCCGGGGGAAGCCGCGCCCCCTGTCTTGCTCCTATACTTCCCAGGCATCGTTTGTGGATTGGCTTGTAGAGACACGCGAAGCGTCGCCACATATCGGTCACGACCGCACTCCGCTGGACCTCCCAAGAGCTCATGAAAACGGCGACAGTTGCGCCATTGTCGGCACCCACGGAGGCCAGGTGGGAGGCTGGAGGCATGAGAAGGGAGAAAGCAGCAAGGAGGAGGGGAAGAGGAGGCGGGACGACGGAAGGGAAGAAGGAGAAGCCATGCTCCACCCGAAACGAGCCCAAGCAAAAGAGGGATTCTTGAAAGATCAAAGCCTTCCCAGGGTCCGTGCGGATGTCTTGGGTCGGCCCTGGACCCCCTCGAGAACTCGGGCCGACATCGTCCTTTGCCCTTCTATCCTTCCCCGCTTCCCGCTGGTCCCCTCTCGTGGCCCTCCTCCTCCTCCTCCCTCCTCCCCCTGCTGGGCACAGCGCCTCCTTCAGGAACCGCCCGACGCCCGAGAGGGTGCCGCCGGTGCCCGCGGACATCACGAAGGCGTCCAGCCTCCGGAGGGGAGCCCGCCGCGCGAGCTGCCGGCCACGCGCAGGGCGAGGGCACGCGCAGGGCACGGGCACGGCTCCTCTCGGGCGTGGGCGGGGCCCGGAGCCGGTGGGACCCGGCTTGGCGATGTGGGTGCCACGGCGCCCCCCCCCGCCGCCCCACTGCACTGATCCGAGCTGCCGCCGTCCGAAGAGACACCAGCTACGGAAGACTCGGCCGCACGATTCGGTTCTTGACATACCTTCCAACTTGATCTCACACTGCATGCTTTCGACCGACCGTGAACAGGTGTGCTGGGAAGTGTCCGTGTACTGCCTCGGTGTGTTGGGATCCGTGTGCTGGGACCAGTGTGCTGAGATGTGTCGGAAGTACTGGGATGTGCGTTGGGGGCTGGGATGCGTGCTGCGATGTGCTGGAATACGTGCTGGCCGTGGCCCCTCTGGATGTGTGCTGGCATGTATCGCTATGCGCTGGGAGTGCTGGGATGTGGGTGTTGGCTCCCCCCCCCCGTTGCACGACCGTGCACCCCCCCCCCCCTCTCCCCCCGTGGCCCCCCTCCCCTTACTTCGACCGACCGTGCACCCGCGCCCTCGCTGCCCGACCGTGCCCCCCCCGCTCCCCCCCCCGCCCCCCCGACCATGCCGCCCCCCCCCCGCTGCCTGACCGTGGCCCCCCACTCCCCCCCGCCGCCCCCCCCCTTGATTCCAGCCGACCGTGCCCCACCTCTCCCCTCGTCGACCGCCCCCCCCCCCTCCTTTTATTCCTACCGACTGTGCCCCCCCCCCGCTGCCCGACCGTGCCCCCCCTCCCCGGCCCCCGACAATGCCCCCCCCCCCTGTCCGACTTGCCACCCGCTCCCCCACCCGCCACCCATCCCTTCATTCCGACCGACCCCAGGTGAGGCGCTGGCTGCAGCACCCCAGGTGGCCCAAATTGCGAGGATGTCTCAGACTCACGTATGCTCAAACTCACTCGTGCTGAGACTCGCTCGTACTCGGATTCGTACCCATCATACCCATACTCAGACTCACTCACACTCAGACTTACGCCCACTTTGACCCACTCACACTTAGACCCACCCATCCTCAGACACACTCGTAGTCAGACGCACTCGTACTCAGACCCACACAGACTCATACTCATACTCATCATATCCATACTCAGACCCACTCACATTCATATTTACCCACACTCCGACTCACTCACAGTCAGACCCACCCACCCTCAGATTCACTCGTAGTCAGACCAACTCGTCCTCAGACCCATCCAGACTCAGACTCGTACTCATTATGCTCATATTTAGACCCACTCACACACAGACTTGCCCACCCTCAGACTCACTCTCACCCAGACTCACTCATTTTCAGACTTACGCATTCTCAGACCCACTCGTACTCAGACTCTCTCATACATAGACTAACTGACACGCACACTCAACCACACCCGGGTTCAATCACGTTCAGACTCACTCACACTCAGATCACTCATGCTCAGATTCACCCAATCATCTCTCCTTGGGTGGTCCAATGCACCCTGACTCTTCCACTGGTGCTTCCCTCATCTCTCTTCTGGAAGATGCCCAGAGAAGAAGGACGTCACTGAAGTCGTCGCTGTCGCCGTCGTCGTTGTCGCGCCCGTCGAATACGCTGACTTGATCTCACACCCAGGTGCTCACAGACGGAGTTTTTCAGCGAGACGTGACAGCTGTATGAGATGTACATATGGAGAGCTCCACGCAGTGAATAGTCACGTGTGGGGAGCACGGCGGCCGCATGGTACGTAGTTGCCCCCCGGTGCGGCGTGGGCACGTGAAGAGACGTGCCAGACATGATAGACCCACGAGCCTGGAAAGGGATTTCGAACTCCGAGGATAACTTCTTTTTCAAGACACCTGATTGGGCGACAAACAAAAACAATGCTGAAGGCATCGATCGTGATGTACCGTGCCAAAGATTGTGCTGTGCTGTGCCGTGCTGACATGAGATGTGTCATGCCGCGATAAGTTCCGTTGTGTCCGTAGTGTTGTGGACCACGTCGCCCTTGGCATCCGAATATATACCGAACTGATCTGGATCTTATGCTCGAGCTCCCTGAGAGCATATTTAGCCAGCCCAGAACTGGTTGCAGTCGAAACGTCTGGGACGCTCAACCAGCTCGAGCTCGATGTCCTACTCAGTTCCGAAACGGGGCCAGGCGACACGGGGCGCAGGGCACATGGACGCGCCACGGAATGCGCCAGGGGCGCACGAGGGGATGCGCCAGGCGACGTGTCAGGGAACGTGGCACGTGACGCGCCACGGAACGGATTGGGAAAGCGCCAGGGGACAAGCAAGGGATCGAGGACGAGCCAGGGGACGTGCCGAGGAGGGAGGGGCCTACCCCGTTCCGCTCTTGGGCGTTAGGATCCACGTGTTGTCATGCTTGTCCTGCTCTGGGGCATTAGGAACCCATGCGTTTTCACCCTTGTCCCGTTCTGGGACGTTAGAAACCCCTGTAGTTTCACGCTTGTCCCCCTCTGGGGCGTCAAGAACCCACGTGTTCCCGCGTTAGGAACCCAAGTGGCTTCACGTTTGTCCTGATCTGAAGCGGGAGGAACCATGCGTGTTCACGCTTGTCTCTCTCTGGGGCGTTAGGAACCCACGTGGTTTCACGCTTGTCCTGCTCTGGGGCGTTAGGAACACACGTGTGTACGCGCTTATCCCACTCTGGGGCGTGAAGAACTCAACGCGGCGCAACCTCGGCGGACCCACCCAGCGCACGGGGCCCTCACGAGAGTCCACGAGGCGCCACGAGCGCCCACGAGGCGGCACAGGCGGCAACGTGGAACAGCCTCGGCGGAGCCACCCAGCGCACGGGGCGCCCACGAACGCCCATGCGGCGGCACGGGGCGGACCCGTCCAATGACTCGAGCAACAGAAGCGGGAACACCTCCCTCCTCCTCCTCCTCCTCCGCCTCCTCCTCCTCTTCTTCTTCTTCTTCTTCTTCGTCTTCTTCTTCTTCTTCTTCTTCTTATTATTATTATTATTATTATTATTATTATTATTCGTCTTCTTCTTCTTCGTCTTTCTTCTTCTTCTTCCTCCTCCTCCTCATCCATAGTTATCAATAAGTGCAAGCACTGCCTGGGGAAGATCGACGACGAGCGCGAAGCCGAGAGGCGGGCGGGCCTGCCCCCACACTGCGACCACAGCTCTGGGCCGGTCCCCTCGTAGTGCGCGCGGAAGTTCGCGGGGTTCTCGAACTGGTCCGCGAAGAAGCAGCCGCCGCCGCCCCCGTCCTCCGCCGCTTCCTGTCCCAGACCCCCTCGCGTCGTAAAGAATCACCACGGGCGGCGGACCGTCTCCCCATCCAACCATCGTAGGCGGATGCGGGGTCCCTGTAGACGGGACGGGGTGGGCATGGGTTGGCCCCAGAAGCTCGCCCACGAAGCATCATAGTTCTACGTCAGTACACAAGTCTGATCCACTGACGGATCCAACTCGTCGTGCAGTCATTGGCATCAACCTCAAGCGAAACAGCATGCTCTCCCCTCGCGTTGTAAAGACCGCGGGACAATTTCGGCCACGTTCGGCCTCTGGGGGAGGGGCCCTTGCCTGGCCTCGGAGCCGCCGAAAAACGGCTCGTGATGAAAAGCGGCCCTGGGGAACGGGTCCAATATTCCTCCTGTGGAAGGACATGCCCGACTTAACGCTAGGGTCCACGTTGTGAAAATGCGACGTCGGGGGCCTGGGGCTGGCACGCACAAGCCAGCAGCGGCCGCTGTGTGTTGGCAGGCGACGCTTGCTTCAAATTGCTAAAACGCCCGCGGCGGCACAGGCAGCGAGCCCTGTCCAAAACGTGCGAGGCGCGGGCGCATCCACCTGGGGAGCCCACGTCCTGGGCTCCCGGAGGGCGGTGGATGTGGATCTATTTGGGCCGCGGGGGGGCCGAATGTATCTATCGATCGATCTGTATACATATATGTATACAGACACATACACATATACACATGTACATTTACAAATACATATACAGGTAATATACATATACATAGACATAGACATAGAAATAGACATATACAGATACGTATACAGATACAGATACAGGTACATATACATAGACATAAACATAGACATAGAGGTAGACATAGACATAGACATAGACATAGACATAGACATAGACATAGGCATAGACATAGACATAGACATAGACATAGGCATAGACATAGACATAGACATAGACATAGACATAGACATAGACATAGACACAAACATAGACATATACACAGACACAGACACAGACATAGACATAGACATTGACATTGACATAAGCATAGACATATGCATCTAAATACACATAAACATATACATATGCCTATACATATACCTATACATATACATATACACATACATACACACATGCACATACATATACATATACATATACATATATATACACGTATACAAATACATGCACATATACATGTACAAATATATGTACGTATAAATATACATGTATATAGACATAGAGATATACAAATACATATACATATACATATACATATACAAAGACAAATACATGTACATATACATATACATATACATATACATATACATATACATACACATATACATATACATATACATGTATGTACAGGGGCCTGGCTCGGGGGGGTCCCCGTTCGAGGCGGCGCCGAAGACGCGATTTGAAGACTCGATTCGCCCAAGGAGCTGCGGTGTCGCCTCTATTCCGCTGACGCCTGGTGAAGCTCGTGACGCCTGCATTCGGCCTGAAGCCTCTATTCCGTTGACGCCCATTGAAGCTCGTGAAGCCTCTATTCGGCCTGAAGCCTCTATTCGGCCTGAAGCCTGCATTCGGCCCGTGATGCCTCTAATCGGCCTAAGAATTGCGACGCAGTGGTGGGGTGGCGACTCTAGACGCCTCTATTCGGCATGAAGCCTCTATTCCCCTGACGCCGATTGAAGCCCGTGAAGCCTCTATTCGGCCTGAAGCCTATATATTCCCCTGAAGCCCATTGAACCTCGTGAAGCCACTCTTCGGCCTGAAGCCTCTATTCCCCTGACGCCCATTGAATTGGAGGGAGGAGAGAGTAAAAAAGGACGGGAGGAAGAATTGGTAAGTCATGATGTTGCTCTGGATGTTGTTTCGCAGAAGTCTGCCGATCTCGCCGGAGGCACTCAGAGCCCCTGTGGTGGAAGCGAGAAAAAAAATCGCAATCATTTCGCAAATAAAAAAACAGGAAGCGACAGCTGACGACCCAAATGTCGACGGGTTTTCGACCCCCAGCGTCGGGTGGTAAAAGGAGGTAGGACAAAATGGGAAGAGGGAGGAGGACGCGGGAGTGGGTAGGAGAACGTAGGAGGAGGTAGGAGGAGGTAGGAGTCAGGGAGACGAAGGAGGAAGTAGGAGGTAGGAGGAGGGAGGAGGAGGAATGAGGTATGAGGAGGTAGGAGGGAGGAGAAGGTGGGAGAGGAAGTAGGAAATAGGAGGCAGGAGGACGCAGGAGGGGGAGGGGGAGGTGGGAGAGGGTAAGGGAGTGAGGGAGGAGAAAGTGGAAATAGGTAGCTCCACGCATCTGTCTTTCCGCACTTGTTTCTCCATCTGATGTCCCACATCCTCACTTGACTGAGGGGGAAGGAGAGGGGGATCGTATGTGACCACGCCGTGCCTCCCACACATACATGCATGCATGCATACATGCATACATGCATGCATGCATACATACATGCATACATACAGTCATGTATATACATACATGCAATCATATATATATATATATATATATATATATATATATATATATAAGTATATATACATATATATATACGTATGTATATATGGACGTACATACATACATACATACATACATACATGCATACATACATACATACATACATGTATATATACATACATACGTACATACATACATACACACATACATACATACATACATACATACATGCATACATACATACATACAGACATACATACATACATATAGGCATGCATACATATATACATACAAACACTGATACATGCATGTATGTATATATGTTTGCACGTATACATGCATGCATGCGTACATACGTGTATGCATACACAAATGCATTAATGCATATATACATGCAGGCATACATCCATACATGCATACATTATATATATGCATGCATACATACAGACACATATATACATACATTCATGCATACATGCATACATGTTCACACACGCACATGCACGCATGCATACATAACATACATACATACATACATACATGCATGCATACGTGCATACACTCATACATGTATACATACATGCATGCATACATACATGCACGCATACATACATACATACATACATACATATATATATATATATATATACGCACACCTACCTACACACATGCATACACCCATATACATATATATATATATACAAGGCTGCATAGGCGCTTCGCGCCATGCATCTTGTTCCTTGAAGCTTTGGATCGGCTGGCTTCTCGCGGTATCCTGCGGTCCCTTCGAGGGGTCCTCGCGGGCTCGCATTGCGAATGTGCAGAGGTTGCGGAGGGGGAGTGGGAGAACTTGGTGTTCGAAGCAACGAAAGGGGCAAATGGAATGCAAGAACAGGACTTCAGAGGGAAACTTATCGAATCCCGGGTTCGCAACCAAATTTCTTAAAAAAAGGGTGCGAACCCAGGATTCTGACCATAATGCAGCTTTATACTGCAAAACATGAGGCAGGGGGGGCGCGGGGAGGCGTGCTGACGCGACTTTGGGACAGGCAGGCTCTACGAACGTTATGTATGGGCTTCGTTCTCACCTTCCTCTTTGGACGGAGAGCGCTAATTTTCGCGCTCGGAGGCTGCGATCCTCGTGAGGGGTCCCGTTTCCGGAAGTCCCGGTTGGGGAGGATCCTATTTCGGGGGGGGGGGTCCCACCCCCCAGGATTATAAAGGCCTTCTTCGGAGAACTCGTGGAGGTTCTTAGAGGCCTTGTGGGGCGTCGTGGGGGAACTTCGTGAATGCTTCTTGGCGGCTCTTGGGCGCCTCGTGGCACGTCTGGGGAGCCGTTGAGAAGTCTTGGAGCTTCGTGTGGGCGTCTGGGTGCAGAGTCCTTGAAATCATAAGCCTTTTGCGCGCCTTGTGGCCCTTCTTGTGGCCTCCTGGAAGGGGCTTGGGGCCTCGCGTGGCCGTGTGGGAGCCGAGCGCGTTGCAATTGCATGGTTTTTCCCTTTTAAGCTCTCTCTGAAGCTTGTCTTGGGGCTTTCTGGGGCCGTCTTGGGCACGGCTTGGGCCGTCTGGAGGCTCTGTTGGGCCGGCTGTGGACTCGCTTGGAGGCTGCTTGGGCCCTCTGGGATTGGTCTTGTGGGCGTCTTCGGCCGTCTTGGCACGTCGGAACAGTGAACACGCAACGAAGCCAAAATCTTAGGAAAGCCATAGGAAATTAATGATTTTGATCTCTTGGGGCCTTCTTCACAGAACTCTGCGAGGTTCGTGGGGCCTTCTCAAGCTGTCGGGGGAACCTTTAAGAAGCTTTTAAGGCAACCCGAGGACCCTCGCGTACCCTCGTAGGTGCCTCTTCGGACCAAGATCGCTCAGTTTCGCGCTGGAATGCTGCGATCCTCGTGAGGGGTGCCGTTTCTGAAGGCCGTCTTGGGGCTCTCTGGGGCCGTCTTGGGCACCCCTTGGGCCGTGTCGGGGCTGTCTTGGGCCGGTTTCGGACTCGCTTGGAGGCCTCTTGAGCCGTCTGGCATCGGTCTTGTGGGCGTCTTCGGCCGTCTTGGCACGTCGGAACAGTGAACATGCGAAGAAGCAAAAATCTTAGAAAAACCATAGGAAATCACTGATTTTCATCTCTCGGGGGCTTCTTCGGAGGACTCTGGAAGGCTCTTGGGACCCTCTTGGGCCTTCGTAGGAGCCTCGAGAAAGCCTCTCGGGAGGTCCAAGGAGCCTCGCGTGTCCTCTCACGTTCCTCTTTGGACGGAGAGCGCTAATTTTCGCGCTCGGAGGCTGCGATCCTCGTGAGGGGTCCCGTTTCCGGAAGTCCCGGTTGGGGAGGATCCTATTTCGGGGGGGGGGGGTCCCACCCCCCAGGATTATAAAAATATAGAAAAGGGAATACGCATGCATGCATGCATATACGTTTACACACATGCATGCATGCATGCATGCATGCATGCATACGTGCATACACACATGAGTTTATGTGTGTATATATACATACGTACATACATGCATGCATATATGTATACAGACATGCATACGTACATAGATGCATACATACATACATACATATCATCATACACACACATGCATACATACATGTACACATACGTACATGCATGCATGCATACATAACATACATACATGAATGCAGACAAACATGCATACATGAAGACATGCATACACACATTCATGCATGCATGCATGCATACATACATGCGTACTTACCTACATGCATGCATACAAACATATACACATGCATGCACGCATATATGTATACACACATGCATGCATGCATGCATACATGCATGCATACATACATACATTCACACATGCGTTTATGTACATATATACATATATACATACATGCATGCATACAAACATACATGCATACATGTACGTATACATGCATACATATGTATATACATACGTTCATACCTACATATGTACATGCATAGATACGTACATACATGTATGCATACATAACATACATACATACATACATACATACATACATACATACATACATACATACATACATACATACATACATACATACATACATACATACATACATACATACATACATACATACATATAACTATACATACATACATACATACATACATACATACATACATACATACATACATACATACATGCATGCATGCATGCATGCATGCATGCATACATACACACATGCATACATTCACACGTGCATACATACATACATGCATGCAAACATACATACACATGCACATATATACGCACATATCGATATGTTTATAGCAATACACATACATACGTGTATATGTATATATAAATATATGTATATACATATATATGTATAGAGAGAGAGAGAGATCCACCGCCTCCGCAGGCCCAGGAACATCAACTTCCCAGACGGTGGACGAATCCCGGCCACGGAGGCTTGGGCAGAAGATGCCACAGGCCTCCGCCCCCGCTCTTTCCGCACCCCTCCCGATCGTACCGATCCTGAGCCCGCCTGCGGGCCACGTTCACGTAGTGCTCGGGGCTGGAGATGCTTGCGGGGCGCACCAGCTCCACCTCGGCCCCGAACCGGCGCAGCGCCTGCACCTTCTCGGTCGCCTGGTCGTCGGGCATCACGATGCGCACGCGGTAGCCGCGCGCGGCCCCCGCGAGCGCCAGGGAGATGCCGGTGCTGCCAGAGGTGCCCTCCACAATCGTGCCCCCCGGCCGCAGAAGACCCGCCCGCTCCGCCTCCTCGATCATGCGCGCCGCCACGCGGTCTTTCTGGCAGCCGCCCGGGCTGAGAAACTCGGCCTTGGCGACGATCCTGCGACCAGTGGCCTCCGACAAGCTCCTGAGCTCCACAAGCGGAGTGTTCGCAACCAGGCCGAAGAAGCCCGTGCCTAGCGCCGCGCCCGCGCACAGGCCCCGACCCGCGGCGCCGCTCGCGTGTGCACGCGGCCCCGTCGCGCGCCGCAGCAGCCGCGCGCCGGCGGCCGCCGCCGCGGCGGCGCAGAGGGCTGCGGCCGCGGCCGCTCGGCCGCCAGGGCCTCGCGGCGCCCGCGCCTCGCGAACCAGGCGCGCCAGGGCGGGAGCGAGCGCGCCGCACGCCAGGACGCCGCCTGCGAGGGCTCCGAGGCGCGGCGCCAGCGCTCGCAGCCGGGCCGCGGCCCCTGAAACGGCCTGCCCCTGGGCGCGCTCAGGCGCGTCACGGCCGAGGCGGTCCAGATGGGCGCGCATCCGCTCGATCGCCAGCTGCGCGCACTGCCACGCGCCCTCCCCGCCGGAGAGGAGGTCGTCGGGGTCCGCGCCCTCGCGGCTGGCCGCCTCCTCCGAAGTCAGCAGCGCCACGTTGCCGAGCCCCCAGGGCAGCGAGCGGTCCCAGCGCGCGAGCGCCAGCCGCCCCGCGCACGAGCGGGTCAGCGCGCTGCGGCCCCCCCACATGTACTCCGCCACGCAGCCGACCGCGTTCAGGTCCAGCGCGGCGAGGGCCTCTGGCGGCAGTCCGCGCCGCAGCTTCTTCCAAACCCCCATGGTGCCCGGGACCGCCGGCTCCGGTGCCGCCAGGCCCGCCAGGCGGTGCAGCGCCAGGGCAGCGGCGGCCAGCCCGAGGCACAGCTTGACCAGCGCGCGGCTGGCGCTGCCGTCTGGTGGCTCCTCCGCCCAATGCCAAGGCTCGCTGGAGAACACCGCGTCGACACCTTCCAGGCTCTCCGCCGCCACGCCCGCGCGCGCCAAGGAGAGCCGAAGCGCCACGGCCGCCGGGCAGGCGTGCACCTCGGCCAGCGGTGCTGTGCCGATGCACGTCGGGTCCGCCAGGTCCCCGGCCGAGGCGACGGAGACGACGCGGATGCCCCGCGCGGCGGCGGCCTCCACGATTGCGGCCTTGGACGCCAGGCTGCCGGTGCAGTCCACGACCACGTCTGCCGCGCGCCCGCCGCCGGCGAGCAGCAGCTGGTCCGCGCCCTCGGCGCAAAAGGGAGCTACGATGGCGTCGACCCTGCTGCAGGGCAGTATGGCCCCGAACGCGCGCTGGCAAGCCTCCACCTTCGGCCTGCCGGCGTCGGCGGCGTGCGCAACCGCGTGACACGCGCCCGCGCGGACCGCGGCGGCGTCCACGAGCCGCAGGTGGCCGACACCGGCCCTTGCCAGCAGTGACGCCGCCGCGCTGCCGACCACGCCGAGGCCGACCACCACCGCAAAGGCCCCGCGCACGCGCGCGTGCCCGACCTCGCCCAGGAACGCCGAGCTCCGGGAGAGCTGCTCGGCCACCAGCGCCTCCTCCTCCTCCTCGTCCCAGGGCGGGCGAAGCCACAAATCTCAAACATGATGTGCTCTTGCGCCGTGTGTTCTTCCCTCGGTTTCGCCCTCTGGGCCTGTGTAATGAATCGGGCCCGGGGAGTGTCGAACAGTGGCCTGGGGCGAGAGACCATTCCTGGGGCCAGGATCGGGAGCTCTGGGGCCGCGGACTGAAAAAAACATTACACCAAAGAAAAAACCCAATCAGAGGATGGTTTGATGGATAAGGAGATCGACCGGGAACCCGGGAACCTGGAACCCGCCGAAATCGGCCCAGAACCAATAACCAGGAACCCGGGAACCCGGGAACCAGGAACCTGGGAACCCAGCCAGCCACCAAGATCGGCGGGACACTGTCGCCACATCTTTCAACTTCTGCTAGGACCCCTTCAGTGCAAGCACTGATTGGGGAATATCGGAGGATGCCTGGCAAGAGGGGGAATTAGCAGAGGGTGGCTGGCGAAGCAGCCCGCGCAGCTGGATTTCTGCGGCGCATCCCGGCGCCAGCGGCGCCAACGTGCCGAGGAGAGCGCCGGGAAAACGACTGCCCGCAACATACAAATCTCGAATAGGGGATCGAGTACAAAATATAATTAGCCCCCCGAGCATTTTCTCCGGGTGGAGGGCTCGGATGAAATCCATATGGGTTTTGCACCTCGGAGATCAATCAGTCTTGTGATTCACTTTTTGCAGGTTCAAGCCTCGAACATCCATCGAAACGGCATTGCAGACTTCACCCTTTGCCCTCCACCCAAAGAAAATGCTCGGGACCTCACACTTCATTGATTTCCGCCGAATCAACTTAGCAAGAACGTAGAAGGTTCGTACATCTACGAGAATTATACGCTTTTCCCGTAGGTTCGACGGACATTTCAGTCTTGGGGTAAATCAATTCTGCAATCGATCCCTGTCTCGGTCATTTCGCACACCCTCTTCAATTCCCCTACCCCATAACTCCGCCTTCGTGTTTTCTTCGCAGCGTCGACCCCCAGGGGTGTAGACCCCTTCCCTCGGGACCGGCGGTTCATCCCGGGCTGTTTTGTTGCAGGGGTCCGCGGAGAGCCCCTCGAGGCCAAGAATAGCCAGAACCCCCCCTGCCGTGATTTGTTCAAGACGCCGGAGGTCTGCCGGAAGCGAGCCCAGGGGGGAAATCCGAAGTAGAAGGCCTTCTCAGAAGGCGGCGGGACTTCTCAGAAGTCCTCCAGACTTCTGAGCAGTTTTCTGCGCCTTCGGAGAGGGCTCAGAAAACCGAGGTAGAAGGCCTTCTCAGAAGGCGGCGGGGACTTCTCAAAGCCCTCCGGCCTTCTGAGCAGTGTTCTGCCCCTTCGGATGAGGCTCAGGAAACGTCTCAGAAGGCCCGAGGCCTGCCGAGTTCTCTGAGAAGGCCCACCCCTTCTCGCTTCCCCCCCCGGGCTCGCCGCCGAGTCTGGGTCCGGACTGACCCGATGATGGTCCCCTCCAGCCTGCGGACCGCCGCCCCCGACCCAGACTGGGACAACAACGCCGCGACGGCCGCTCCCGGCCGACTTCGCGCTGACGCAGTGTAAACCGCAGCAGGAGGAGGAGGAGGAGGAGGAGGAGGAAGAGGAATGAAGACCGACCCGATCCTCGCCGCCAGCCCAGTCTCTGCCGCCCCCGCCGGGGCGCGGGGACCCCGCAGCGCCGAGCGGCGGCGCCGCGGCGGCTGGCACGGGGGTCGCCACGGCGGCCACCTCCTGTGGCCGGAGGGCGGGGAGCTCGGAGCGCTGCCGGACTCGCACCAGCGCGGCCTCGATGCGCTCGCGCACGGCGACGGGCACCTCGAGAGGGGAGCGGTGCGCGTCGGCCTCCGCCTCTCGGAACGGCCGGAATGGGTACACGGAGGGCGCTGTGGCGTAGACCTGCAGCAGGTCCTGCCCCTCTTGAGCAGGGGTCGCCGTCGGTGCCGCCGAGGGCGCCGTCCACCTGGGACAAAAACTCGCGTGCCCGACAGCGGCCGCTGTTGGCTTGGGGCAAGCTTTATGTACTCTTGGGCTTTGTACCTGTTTTCCTGTACCCACTCCGTGCGTGCCGAGCCTCCGTACAGAGTATCAGGTTCCCGGCGCCCAGGGGGCGCTCGGGGTCCCAGCGGGCGAAGGTGAAACGCTGCCCTGAGGACCCGCCGATCGCGTGCTGGTCGTTGAGCGCGCTGCGCCCCCCCCAGACCTCGTTGATGAGGAACCTGACCTCCGTGAGCGTCGCGTCGATGGCGCACGGGCGGCCAGCGGAGCGGATGCCCTCGCGCTTGCGCAGCTGCTCCAGGCACCGCTCCGCCAGCCTCGGCGCTGGCGTTGGCAGTTGGCGCGGCGAGAAGGGCCGGGTGAGCCCAACCTCCATCAGTGCCTGCGCGGCCAGCGCGACCCCCGCGATGGCCGGCTGGGTGCCCAGCACTGGGATAACGCGAATCCTGAAGTTGGCGACGTTGCCGAAGTCCTGTGGCTTCGCCTGCTGCTCCTCGGACAGCGGCAGCAGAGTGCACTGCGGCTTCTGCGAGGAATACACGAAAGACACCTCTGACAGGTCGACGCCCCGCGCCCCAGCCACCTTTGGTTGCTTGAAAATTGACCCCTAACCAAAGAAACGTCAACGCTCATGTTGAACATACATTGACAACTCTCTGCCGCTATCTACTAAATTATGGGCCACGTTTACATCGCAGAGCAGGGGGGGCTGCGAAATGGCATGCCATTCCTTGGCAAAAACCGTGCCCCGATTAGTCGTCGCCGCGACCGCTGCGGCGACATCCCAAACCGACCAGGCGATTTGGTTCGGGGTCGGAAATCACGCAACCTGCCTTCCTCAGCTTCGTCGCAAGGGGGTCGCTCTCGATGTCCCGCAGCCCGCGGGCCACGCACAGCTGCGTCGGGTCCCCCTTTGCGCCGCTGCCCAGCGCGCTGAGGGCATGGATGCCGCGCTTCACGCAGGCCTCTGGGAAGAGGAGGAGGAGGCGGAGGAGGACAAGGAGGAGAGACAGTACCTGAGGAGGAGGAGGAGGAGGAGGAGGAGGAGGAGGAGGAGGAGGTCAGGAGGTCAGGAGCGCGGCCTCCCACAAGCGGCGACTGGCGCTGCGCCTAGCCCGCGCGATGGCAGCAGGCAAGGCTGCCCGTGGCCGTAGCGCCCGCGACGCCTGGCCCGCGGCAGGGGACCTTCTGTGTCGCCTGCCGCGGGTCTGGCACCGCCATGGAGAGCTCCCGGGGCTGCCCGACACAGGGGCGGCCCAGAGGCGGCTACGGCGGCGCGCGCGCGGGCTCGCAGCGTGCGCGAGGCCGCCGAGCATGGCCCCTCCGCGGCCCGTCGCGCCGCGCGGTGCCAGCGCCTGGCGGCGCTGGCTGCCGGGCTCAGGAGGGCCGACGCAGACGCCAACATCCAGTGCATCGTGATAGAAGTCAGCCCGGCCCCACCCGACGACCAGCCCCACGCCCCACCCGACGCCCCACCCGACGCCCCACCGCGCGCCCGCGCCTGGCGTCGCCTACCCAACAGCGGGCCGCCTCGTGGAATCAGCCGCGGAGGGTGTGGAAGTCCAGCGTCGCGCCAGGCATGCCCAGGCAGTCAACTGGCACAGCGGCCTTGCTTGGTGGCATCGCGCCTCAATCCTCACCGACCCCTGGGCGGTCGGGGCCTCGAGGGCTACGGGATAGCGCCAGCACTGCCGACCTGGGCTGCCCCTCGCGTCGTTGAGGAAACCGACCACGACCACCACCACCACAACCACTACCACTACGACGACTTCGCTTACGACCGCCACAACGACTCCCACCAGCAGCACAACCACCAGGGCTTCCTCACCCTCCCGCCCTTCATCCCGGACGCTCCATGCTACCAACTAGCACAACGAGGCCAAAAGTGGAGCAGGAGGGGGACGAGGACAATGACCCGGTGCCGACCCTGGGAGAGGCGAAGGCGGTTGTAGGAGCCACGGACCTGGGTTTTCGGGAAGCGGCGGAGGCCCAGGAATCGGCGGCGGCGGCGGGGGTGCCCTGCGGGATGGCGGCTGCGGGCTGCGGGGGCGCGGGGGGAGAGGAGGCAGGACAGCAGGCCAGGCGAGGGCCACCAGCACCACCGTGAGCACCATGACGGACCCCGGCAGCACGAGCGTGAGCAGCACGACGGACTCCAGCAACACCATCGTGAGCTGCATTACGGACTCCAGCAGCGCAACCTCCAGCAGCATGGCGCACTTGAGCAGCACCATCATGAGCAGCATGCAGCATGTCGGACTCCAGCAGCACGACCGTAGACAGCAGGACGGACTCCAGCAGCCCCACCGTGAGCAGCACGACTGACCCAAACAGCGCGACCGTGAGCAGCACGACGGTTCCAGCAACGCGACCGTGACCAGCATGATGGAATCCAGCAGCAGAATCGGGAGCAGCACGACGGACTCCAGCTAAACCATCGTGAGCTGAATGACGGGCTCCAGCATCACGACAGTCAGCAGCATGGCGGACATCAGCAGCATCGTCGTGAGCAGCACTACGGACTCCAGCAGCACGACCGTAGACAGCAGGACAGACTCCAGCAGCACCATCGCGAGCAGCACGACGGACCCCAGCAACGAGCCCGGGAGCAGCACGACGGATTCCGGCAACGTGACCGTGAGCAGCATGATGGACTCTAGCAGCAGCATCGGGAAAAGCACGACGAACTCCAGCAGCACGAGCGTGAGCAGAATAACGGGCCCCTTCAGTACCGTCATGAGCGGCACGACGGACTCCACCAGCAGCTTCGCGAGCACCACGAGCAGCACAAGCGTGAGCATCATGGCGGACTTCAACGACACCATCTTGAGCTGCATGACGGACTCCAGACTCCAGCAGCGCTACCGCCAGCAGCATGGCGGACACCAGCAGCATCATCGTGAACAGCATCGTGGACTCCAGCAGCACGACCGTAAACAGCAGGTCGGACTCCAGAAAAAAATTGTGAACCGCACGACTGACCCAAACAGCGCGACCGTGAGCAGCACGACGGTTCCAGCAACGCGACATTGACCAGCATGGACTCCAACAGCAGCATCGGGAGCAGCACGACGGACTCCAGCGTCACGAGCGAGAGCCGCATGTCGGACACCAGCAGCACGACCGCGAGCAGCACAACGGACTCCGACAAAACCATCGTGAGCTGCATTACAGACTCCAGCAGCACGACAGTCAGCAGCTGGGCGGACTTCAGCGGCATCATCGTGAGCAACACTTCGGACTCCAGCAGCACGACCGTAAACAGCAGGACGGACTCCAGCAGCACCATCGTGAGCAGCACGACGGACCCCGACGGATTCCAGCAACGCGAGCGTGAGCAGCATGATGGGCTCCAGCAGCATCATCTGGAGCAGCACAACGGACTCCAGCAGCACAGCGTAAGCAGAATAGCGGACCCCAGCAGTACCATTGTGAGCGGCACGACGGTCTCCAGCAACATCATCGTGAGCATCGCGACACACTCCAGCAGCACGACCGTGAACAGCACGACGGACTCCAGCGCACGACTGTAAGCAGCACGACGGACTCCAGCATCACGACCGTGAGCTGCATTATGGACTCCAGCAACACGGCCGTCATCAGCATGGCGGACTTCAGTAACATGACGGACTCAAGCACCACGACCGTGAACATCCGTGAACAGCAGGACGGACTCCAGCAGCACCACCTTGAGCAACACGACGGACCCCGGCAACGTGCCCGGGAGCAGCACGACGGATTCCAGCAACGCGGCCGTGAGTAGCATGATGGGCTGGAGCAGCAGCTTCGGGAGTAGCACGACGGATTCCAGCAACATGATCGTTTTCCAAACTTAATTGATCGCGTCTCGGGGTGGTGCGGTTGGGGAGGGCCGTGTAAGATAGTAGTGCAGGTTGCATCCCTCCTCCTGCCCTGCCTGTCTTTCGTGTCCGCTCAAGCTTTTTCTGGCTCGAGGTCTTTCGAGCCAGGAGCTCGCGCGCGCCTCTCCGCCCCACCAGCGTGGGTGCTCGCGGCGCGGGCGCTGATCGTCGGCACCACGGCGAGGCGGTGGTGGCTCGCCAGTGCTGCCTTGCTCTCGTACATCGGGGACTGGGGGGTCCTCGACTCTATCCTCTCGAAGCCGCTCGTGGATCCCGAGGACGACGCGTCCCTGAGGTACACGAGAGAGTCCGAGCGGCTCAGCTTCTACGACTATCTGCGGGTGCACATGTCCAGCGTGACACGATGGAGCTGCTTCTATCGGACTACGGCCCCCCAGCGGGGGCAAGTGGTCCTCTTGGTGATGCGAATGTACCCAAAAAGAAGAACGACACAAGGTGGATCTACGTGAAGCCGGACCGCGCCCTCGGCGTGGGTGACATCAAGGATCGGGCGAAGCTGTCGAGTCGTCGACAGCCAGGCTGGGACTACGAGGCTTTCCCGACCCTCACGGCAAGCGAGAAGACGGACATCCTAGAGAAGGCCAAGGAGAAGCAGCTCGAGGCCGAGCTGCATCTGTCCAACATCCGCGGCTATGTTGCATCATTGTCCTGGTATCGCTCTGGTCTATTTGGCGTGTGGAACACATGGAACTGGGGGTCGACGGTGGGCGCTGCTTTCTTTTTCTGGAGGGTGGCGGTCTACTGCAACCTATGGCAGTGGATGCGCTGGTCAGTGGAGAAGCTCGAGGATGGCCACAACATGCTACTCGAAATCGACGACTTCCGAGGCTATTTGCACGACTTATACCAAGACGGCAAACTCGAGATTCCCATCATGATCTTCACCGCCCTGGTGGCTCTTGGGCCAAGTCTCCTGCGCTGCTGCAGGCAGCGCCCCTCCCCCCTGCTCGCAGGGGGGACGCCTCCAGGGAGCGACGTGGACAGCGACGGGGAGGCGGGCCACTCGGTGGCGGGGTCGTCGGACGAGTCCGAGCCAGCCAAGGACATGCAAGAGATGAAGGCCATGATGAGCAACCTGCTCGACGAGATCACCAGATCGCGGTCGGAGTCACCGCGTGCCCGCACGAGTCAGAGCACCTCGTCGGCAGCGTCCCCTGGAGAGAGCAGTCAGGACGGGAAAGAGATGGAAAGAGTACCCAGTGTCAATACCGAGTCCAGCATGGACATGCATGTGGACAGGATGGTCGACCGGCTGAAGCGCTTCGAGGACACGATCAATGCGGACAAGGCCTCGCCTGGATGCAAGCCCCTGCAGGACGCTTCGTCCACGTCGGCCACGGTGGGATCTACGACGTGCCCTACTATCGACCTGGGGACGAAGGAGACGCTGGAGGGTGCGGGGGTGAGCCTCGAGCCCTTGAGGGAGGCACTTCGGGACCCCAGGGAGCGGTTGTTGGCCAACCTCTCGAAGATCGATGCGCCGCCCACCTTCACCCTCCCAGCGGGCCTCACCTCCCGCGTGGCGCCCGAGCTGCTGGTCCAGACCTACGGGAAGTACGGCAGCATGGTGAAGTTTGCGACGGACTGGGTTCGCCTCAAGGAGTTGAATCGCAACCACATTGGCCACGAGATGATGCTGCACTGCATGACGCTGGACCGGATGCTGGAGGCTTTGCCCGAGTTCATCCAGACGGCGGGTTGCGAGATCTTGTGCGCGCGTGTGCGTGTCTATGCGTTGAAGCGGGCGTTCAAGGACGTGGCAGGCATCAACGACTGGAAGCAGCCTCGGGGCAGCGGGGCCAACAAGTGGAAGTCCAAGGTGCGCTGGGACCTCGCGAACGAGCTGGACTGGAGGTCTCTCACGGAGGGCGAGGAGGCGCTCCCAGGCGTGGAGCGCGACTTGACGGCCAGGCTGCAGCAGAAGGCTCTCTTCCAGAAGTATATGCAGAAGGGAGGCTCGGACGCGGCAAGGGAGGAGGACGAGTAGACGTGGGGGAGATCTTCCCTGTCTGTGGTGCCTCGCAGGGCTCCCCGCGCTTGAGGGAGGGGCTGGCGGTTTACCGTTCCGTTCGCCCTGACGACGGCCACCCTGGTGGGCTACTCTCCCGATAGCTACGGTGACGCTCCTGCTGGTCGCGACGATCTTTTCGCGTGGTACCGCACCCCTCGGGAGGCGACGCCATACCCGCTTTTCTCCATCCACACGCTTCTCCATCGTCTACCTCGACGGCAGCCACGGGCGTGCCTCCCGAAGCCGTTCCTCGAGACCGAGACCTTCTGGCGGATTTGCCGCTGCTACCTTGGTCGGTGGTGGCGGACCGCGCGGGGCCGATGCATCAAGGCACACTGAGACATGTACGAGCTCTTGCCAATGGGCTGATCCGATCCATGCACCACCTCTCTCGGGGCACGGTCGGAGCGGCCGAGGGCGCTGGGCCGTCGGCCGCGTGGGAGCGGGCGACACCGCTCTAGAGGGCCACTTCGAGGAGGCTACTGGAGGCGTGGCTAGCTTGGGGCAGCCAGGTGGCCGCGATCAAGGAAGGCGAGGACGCTGCCCTTCGGCGCGCCATGGCCGGTCGGGCCTCGCTGTACTCAGGCGATGGGGCTACGGTTGCCCTGGGAAAGGATTCAAAGGGAAGGGAGATGCTACCGAAGGGCGCGATGTGCTCCGTCGACGTGGAGGAGCTGGCTCTTCCGCCGCCAGGGACCATCCCTGCCAAGCTCGTGGACATCTGCCCGCTGGCCGCCGAGTACTTCTCCGACGTTGCGGGGAGGATGCTACGCGAGCCCAGCTCAGCCATGGACGAGGAGCTGAAGGGCCAGAAGGTCTACCGAGTTCCGTCTCTTCGATCGAGGGCGTCGCGTCTCCGCCTGGCCGAGAGGCTCTGGGATGCGGGGATGCTCGGGACCACCGACCAGCTGGTCGAGGGTGTCTCGCTCTTCGGGGTCATCAAGAAGTACCTGCAGGAGGAGGCGGACCCCCTCGGCCCCGCCAGGCGCCAGGTCCGCGCCATCTGGGACCAGAGGCGGGCCAACCTCCGTTGGCAGAGGCCCCCGTACGTACCCCTCGGCAACCCCGCGACCTTCACCCACGTGGACCTCTCCAACCTCGGCGAGAAAAACGTGGTCTACACGGGCGTGGGCGACATCCCGGACATGTTCTATCGTTTGGAGACGCCGCCCGATGTCTGGCCCTACTTTGTCTTGGAGGAGGTGCCAGTCCACGAGTTCGTCGAGTACATGAGGACCAAAGGGCGGGACTGCGTCATCCCCGATGGCGGGCCCTTCCTGGCGCTGAAGGTCTTGGTCATGGGCTGGTCGTGGGCCCCGTTCTTGGCCCACTCTACGCTGCAGGCCTGCATGGCGCGCGGGCTCGGGGAGGACTCCGTCGGTGCGCGCCTGGTCTACGGGGCTCCGACGCCTCAGCTGATCGGGCCCGAGGGGTTCGAGTCGGTGAACTGGGCGTATATGGACGACTACGGGGTCATGGCCACGTCAGCCAGCGTACAGCAGCCAGTGAGCGAGGTCGTGAGCGGGCTGACGGCCCGAGTCAAGCACTACTTGGGGCAGGTCGGGCTCCCCGTCCACAAGGAGAACGAAGGCGAGGGGCTCGAGTCGCTGGGGGCGGTCATCCGAGGCCGGCCCTACACAGTCTCGGCCGAGATCGATCGCACCTGCGGCCTGGCTCTAGTGACGCTGCGGCTGGCAGAGCGGACGTACTGGACCTCGGAGCTCCTCGAGCGCATCGTGGGGTTGTGGGCGTGGGCGGCCATCTTCCAGCGCACGGGCCTCGCCATCTTCGACCAGGTGTATCACGAGATGAGGCGCCCCGAGACCGCCAAGACGCCGTTCCGCCTGACGGACGCGGCGAGGTGGGAGCTGACTACGATGGCCTATTGCGCACCGCTCTTGCGTACAGATCTCGAAGCGCCGTGGCTCTCGCAGGTGTTCATGACGGACTCCAGCGACACGGGCTACGGGGCGGCGGTCACCGACGCATCGCTGGAGGAGATCAGGAAGGACGCACGCTACAGCGAGATGAGGGGATGGACGATCGCCACCGAGGACATCTACACAGCCCAGGAGGAGGACACTTGGGTCCCCCACGCTGGGGGGTGTGCCTACGACGTGGACGAGCTTGTCGAGGCGTCGACCACACCGCCGTCGCGGATCGGTCGGAGGGTCTACCGGGTGCTGTACCTCTTCGCGGGCAGGCGCTGGGAGGGGGACCTGGAGGAGGCCATCCACTCGCGGGCGGAGCACGACGGCTACGAGGTCGAGGTCTGGTCCATCGACGCGGTGATCAACCCGAAGCACGACCTCACCAACGACGAGTTTGTCAACCTGATCCTGGGTCTGGCGCGCGACGGGTACTTCCACGCAGTGATCGCTTCGCCCCCATGTTCCACCTGGAGTCGGGCTCGCTTCCTGGGAAAGGGGCCCAGGCCCCTACGGACGCGTCTCGAGCCTTGGGGGCGGAGCGACATGTCCTTCACAGCCTTCGAGCGCCTCCGCCTGGACCTGGGGTCGCGCCTCCTGCTGACGGCCATGCAGGCGGCCCTCGAGATCTGCCGAGCTGGAGGCCTGGGCTTGATGGAGCACCCTGCGGACCCAGAGGAGGACCCATACCCGTCAATCTGGAACCTCCCCGAGATGGCACGCCTCCTCGAGGAGACGGGCGGGCAGATCAAGCGGATCGACCAGTGCCGCTACGGAGCCCCGTCGATGAAGTCGACCATGATTGGCATCTTCGGGTTCTACGACGACGCACTGGACCTCGCCGCGGATCGTCTTGTCCTGAGGTGCAACCACCGAGGGAGGCATCAAGCAGTACTCAAGGGACGTGTGGAGCGAGGCCGTCCCGACTTCTGCACCGCCTCCGCCCAGGCGTACCAGCCGCCGCTGTGCGCCGCGCTGGCGGGGGTGATCATCGAGGCGTTCGCCCGCATGGCGAAGGAGATGAGGGGCCCCGATCCAACGGGCTCGCGTGTGTCTCCATCCACGGCGTCCTTCGGCCAACCGAGGCCGGGAAGGGCGAGGATCGAGGTGAGGCGGGGCGATCGAGTCAGAGTTCCCCCGCTGTCCCCTGCCTGGATGCCGCTCGCAAGGTGGCGGCCACTCTACTTCGGGAGGTGGAGGATCACGGAGCACACGAACATCAACGAGACGCGGGCCGTGGTGGGCCTGCTGCGACACCTGGCCAGATCATCACGGATGTGGAGGCGGAAGGTCCTGATCCTCACCGACAGCATGGTGGCTCTGGGGGCCCTGGGCAAGGGCCGCTCGAGTTCGCCAGCCCTGTTGCGCTTGTGCCGCCAGGCGTCGGCGATCACCATGAGCTTCGCGATCCACGGGTACTACCGCTACGTCCCGTCGGAGCTGAACGTCGCCGACGGCCTCTCTCGGGGGGGCTTCCTCGGCGCGGCGCCCGAGACGGTGGCAGCTCACAGCGACCGGCACCCCGCTCCGACGGACAGCCGAGGTCACGATCTGCGCGACCTGGGCCGCGCGTGTACGGGATACGCTGGTGGCTAGCTGCCCTGGCATTGGAGGCAATCCACCCCGTTGGAGCGGTCCGCCCGAAGCCGCCCAAGGCGGGAGACGTCCCCCTGCAGAAGCGGGGGCCACGGGCGTGGGAGAACTACGAGAAGGAGCCGCACCTGGGCATCAGTGAGGGCGGCTTCACAAGGCTGCTCACCCACTCCGTGGCGGACGTCACCGCGGCGCAGTGGGCCCCGAAGGTGCAAGACTTTCTTAGCCACTGCGTCGACAAGGGTTGGGAGTTTCGGTCCGCCAACGCCGTGGACCACGCCCTGGCCGACTACATGGACATGAAGTGCTACAAGGACCGGCTCCGCCCCACGTGGGGGTCGATCGTCTTGTTCGGGCTGCTGGTGATTTGGCCTGAGCTGAGGAACCAGCTTCATCTGGCCTTGCGAAGCCTGAAGGGCTGGCAGAGGTTGGTTGTCTCTGTGGAGGGGGGCCCTCTGCCTGAGGAGGCTGTCTTCGCCGTCGCCATCTACTTTCTCGAGGCGGGGTTCCTGGACGAAGCCATCTGGACCCTCGTGCAGTACGACGTCTACGGGCGGGAGCAGGACATGGAGATGCTGCGCGAGGCCGACATCATCTGGGACGGCCGATGCGTGGGCCTCCTGTTCGGCATCTCGGCCAGAGGCGAGGAGGGCAAGACGGGCAGCAACCAAGGGGTCGTCATCCGCCGCGGGACGGTCGCGAACCTCATCCTGGCCCTGAAGGACGTCAAGAAGAACTCCACGGCGCCTATCTTCGGCCCCAAGCAGGCAGGCTTCCGCAAGGAGTGGCACCGCGCATGTCGCTCGCTGGGGATGCCCTGGGCGCCGCCGCCGCACGGGCTCCGCCACTCGGGGCCTAGCGAGGACGTGGCCCGAGGACGGGCCAGCCTAGAGCAGGTGCGGAGGCGGGGCAGGTGGAAGGCCCTCTCCAGCGTCCAGCGGTACTCCAAGACGTTCGCCCTCACGTAGTTCCGTGCGAAGATGCCGAAGAAGGTGCTGGACGTGGGCTCCCGTGCGACCTCAGACCTGTCTGCCGAGATTCTCCGTGCGGTGGGGTCCGCACCAACTACAGGAAGCAGCAGCAGCAGCAGCAGCAGCAGCAGCAGCAGCTGGTCGAAGGCATCAAGACGAATCTGAAGATGAAGAAGGTGAAAGATGTCGCCGCGGAGCTCTTGATGCTGGGACCCACCACCAAGCAGAAGCAGAAGACCACCACCAAGCATAAGCCCACCAAGGGCGACACAAGTTGTCCAGAGTCCGATGACCTCTACTCCGGCGAGACATGGGGAGAGACAACTGGATGGTGGACAGAGTGAGGCGACGGGCCAAGTGGGGGCGCCCCCTGTGGGCGGCTAGGGGCGCCATACGAGGGCTCCCTAGAGGTGGTGGCCTACGGGCGCGACCACCGCCCCACTGTGAGCTTGGCCGTTCGCATGTATTTATCTGTTGTGGTCCCCGCCCGCCCGCCCTGGCCACAGCATGAAGTTTTTCGGCTACGCCAGGCACATCAAATGCGGGAGTGGGACTGAGAATCTTCTGATGCCGATCGCAACTCGAGTTTTTGTTGTGGTTTGGTTGAGGTTGGTTATATGGATCTCAATCGGCCTCCCGATGAATGATTATATATCTTTGGCCCGTCTGGGCCCTCGTGCAGTGTGTGGTTGAAACAGTGCTTCTTCATAGGCCGCTTCGCGGCGTTGCTGCACGTCCCGCTGTCAGATACCGTGTTATCCTGTCAGCTTTGCTGGCCCCCCGCCTGCCCCCTGCGACGTAGCGATAATGATCGTTTTCCAAACTTAATTGATCGCGTCTCGGGGTGGTGTGGTTGGGGAGGCCGTGTAAGATAGTAGTGCAGGTTGTATCCCTCCTCCTGCCCTGCCTGTCTTTCCGTGTCCGCTCAAGCTTCCCCCCCTTTTTGAACGCTTTGCCCGGCCCTGCTCTCACGACACGTGGGACTGAGAATCTTCTGATGCCGATCGCAACTCGAGTTTTTGATTGTTGTGATTTGGTTGAGGTTATATGGATCTCAATCGGCCTCCCGATAAATGATTATATATCTTTGGCCCGTCTGGGCCCTCGTGCAGTGTGTGGTTGAAACAGTGCTTCTTCATAGGCCGCTTCGCGGCGTTGCTGCACGTCCCGCTGTCAGATACCGTGTTATCCTGTCAGCTTTGCTGGCCCCCCGCCTGCCCCCTGAGACGTAGCGATAACGGCCGTGAGCAGCATGATGGGCTGGAGCAGCAGCTTTGGGAGCGGCACGACGGACTCCAGCAGCACGAGCGTGAGCAGCACCACGGACTCCAACAGCACGAGCGTGAGCCGCATGCCGGACACCTGCAGCAGCAGCAGCAGCAGCATGACGGACACCAGCTGCACGACCGTAAGCTGCATGATCGACTCCAGCAGCGCTACCGCCAGCAGCATGACGGACTTCAGCAGCATCATCGTGAGCAGCATTACGGACTCAAGCACCACGACCGTAGACCGTATACAGCAGGACGGGCTCCAGCAGCCCCATCATGAGCAGCACGACGGACCCCAGCAACGCGTCCTGGGTTAGCACAAGGGATTCCAGCAACACGACCGTGAGCAGCATGATGCACTCCAGCAGCAGCAGCAGCAGCAGCAGCAGCAGCAGCATCGGGAGCAGCACGACGGACTCCAGCAGCACGAGCGTGACCAGCATAGCGGACTCAAGCAGCACGACCATGAGCAGTACCGGATTCCAGCAAAACCATCGTGCGCTGTGTTACGGACTGCATCAGCACGTTCGTTGCAATATGGCGGACTTCAGCGGCATGATCGTGAGCAGCACTACGGACTCCAGCAGCACAACCGTAAACAGCAGGACGGACTCCAGCAGCACCATCGTGAGCAGCACACCTGACCCCAGCAGCGCCTCCGTGAGCAGCGCAACGGATTCCAGCAACACGAGCGTGCGCAGCATGATGGACTCCAGCAGCAGCATCGTGAGCATCACCGCAGACTCCAGCAGCACGAGCGTGAGCATAGCGGACCCCAGCAGCACCATCAGGAGCAGCACAGCGGACTCCAGCAGCACGACCGTGTGCAGCACGACGGACTCCAGCACCACTAGCGTGAGCAGCACGAGACCGTCAGCAGCACGGCAGACTTCAGCAGCATCATCGTGAGCGACCTTACAAACTCCAGCAACACGACCGTAAACAGCAGGACGGACCCCAGCAGCATAATCATGAGCAGCACGACCGACCCCAGCAGCGCGTCCAGGAGCAGCACGACGAAGTCCAGCAACACGACCGTAAGCAACATGATGGACTCCAGCAGCAGCATCGGGAGAAGCACAACGGACTCCAGCAGCACGACCGTATCCAGCGCGACGGACTCCGGCAGCTCAATCGTGAGCAACATGACGGACTCCAGCAAAACCATCGTGAGCTGAATTACGGGCTCTAGCATCACGACCGTCAGCAGCATGGCGGAATTCAGCAGCATCATCGTCAACAGCATCGCGGACCCCAGCAGCACGTCCGTGAGCAGCACGACGGACTCCAGCAAAAAAACGTGAACCGCGCGACTGACCCAAACAGCGCGACCGTGAGCAGCACGACGGATTCCAGCAACACGACCGTGAGCAGCATGATGGACTCCAGCAGCAGCATCGGGAGCAGCACAACAGACTCCAGCAGCACGAGCGTGAGCAGAATAACGGACTCCAGCTGCACACTCGTGACCAGCACAACGGACTCAAGCAAAACCACCGTGAGCAGCGCGACGGACTGCAGCAGCGCGACCGTACACAACATGGCGGACTTCAGCAGCATCGTCGAGAACAGCATTACGGACTCCAGCAACACGAGCGTGAATAGCAGGACGGACTTTAGCAGCACCATCATGAGCAGCACGACGGCCCCTAGCAACGCGCCCGGGAGCAGCACGACGGACTCCAGTAACGCGACCGTGAGCAACATGATGGACTCCAGCAGCAGCATCGGGAGAAGCACAACGGACTCCAGCAGCACGAGCGTGAGCAGAATAGCGGACCCCAGCAGTACCATCGTGAGCAGCACGACGGACTCCAGCAACACCATCGTGAGCAGCACGACTGACTCCAGCAGCACGACCGTGAGCAGCATGATGGACTCCAGCAGCACGACCGTGAGCAGTACGACGGACTCCAGCAGCACGAACGTGAGCTGAAATTGGACTCCAGCAGCACGACCGTCAGCAGCATGGCGGACTTCAGCAGCATCATCGTGAACAGCATTACGGGCTCCACCAGCACGACCGTAAACAGCAGGACGGACTTCAGCAGCACCATCGTGAGCAACACGACGGGGCCCAGCAACTCGCCTGGAAGCAGCAGGACAGATTCCAGCAACGCGGCCCTGAGCAGCGTCATGGGCTGGAGCAGCAGCATCCAGAGCAGCACGACGGACTCCAGCAGCACGAGCGTGAGCAGCACAACAGTCTCCAACAGCACGACCGTGAGCAACATGACGGACTCCAGCAGCACAACCGCAAGCAGCATAACGGACTCCGGCAACGCGAACGTAACTGCAATATTGACTCCAGCAACACGACGGTCAGTAGCATGGCGGACTTCAGCAGCATCATCGTGAGCAGCAGTACGGGCTCAAGCACCACGACCGTAGACCGTATACAGCAGGGCGGACCCCAGCAGCACCATCACGAGCAGCATGACGGACCCCAGCAACGCGACCGTGAGCAGCATGATTGACTGGAGCAACAGCATCCAGAGCAGCACGACGGACAGCAGAAGCACGAGCGTGAGCAGCATGACATACATACTCCAGCAGCAGCACCGTAAATAGCATGACGGACTCCTGCAGCACGACCGTGAGCATCATGACAAACTCCAGCAGCACCATCGTGAGCAGCACGATGGACCCCAGCAACGCGTCCTTGAGAAGCACGACGGATTCCAGCAAGGCGACCGTGACCAGAGCCTCCAGCAGCACATCGGGAGCAGCGCGACACGCTCCAGCAGCACGAGCGTAAACAGCACGACGGACTCGAGCAACACGACCGTGAGCAGCATGACGGACTCCAGCAGTACAACCGTGAGCAGCACGACGGACTCCAGCAGCACGAACGTGAGCTGCATTATGAACTCCAACAGCGCGGCCGTGAGCAGCATGGCGGAATTCAACAGCATCATCGTGCGCAGCATTACGGACTCCAGCAGCACGACCGCAGACCGTTGACAGCAGGACGGGCTCCACCAGCACCATCTTGAGAAGCACGACGGGCCCATCCACGGTAGCAACGCGTCCGGGAGCAGCACGACGGGCCCCAGCAGCACAACCGTGAGCAGCATAATGAATTCCAGCAGCAGCAGCATCGGGAGCAGCACGACGGACTCCAGCAGCACGAGCGTGACCAGCATGACAGACTCCACCAGCAGCTTCGTGAGAAGCACGAGGGACTCCAGCAAAACCATTGTGCGCCGTGTTACAGGCTGCACGAGCACGGCCGTTAGCCATATGGCAGACTTCAGCAACATGGTGGATTTCAGCCGCATCATCGTGAGCAGCATTTCGGACTCCAGCAGCACGACCGTAGGAAGCAGGAAAGACTCCAGCAACACCATCGCGAGCAACACGACGGACCCCAGCAGCGCCTCCGTGAGCAGCACAACGGGAGCGTGCGCAGCATGAGCGTGCGTAGCATCTTGGACTCAGGCAACACGAGCGTGCGGAGCATGATGGACTCCAGCAGTAGCATCGTGAGCTGCATCACGGACTCCAGCGGCACGACCGTCACCAGCATGGCGGCCTTCAGCAGCATCATCAAAAGCAGCAGTACGGACTCCAGCAGCACGACCGTAGACGGCAGGACAAACTCCAGCAGCACGACCGTAGACCCCAGCAACGCGTACGTGAGCAGCACGACGGATTCCAGCAACGCCACCGTGAGCAGCATGATGGACTCCAGGAGCACAATCTGGAGCAGCACGACGGACTCCAGCAGCACGAGCGTGACCAGTATAGCGGACCCCAGCAGTACCGTCGTGAACAGCATTGCAGGAACAGCAAAACCACCGTGAGCTGCATTACGGCCGCCAGCAGCACGATCGTCAGCAGCATGGCGGGCTTCGGCAGCATCATCGTAAACAGAATTACGGGCTCCAGCAGAACGAGCACGACCGTGAGCAGCACGACGGACTCCAGCAGCACCATCGTGAGCAACACGACGGACCCCAGCAGCGCATCCGTGAGCAGCACGACGGACTCCAGCAACGCGACCGTGAGCAACATGACGGCCTCCAGCAGCAACATCGTGAGCAGCACGACTGACCCCAGCAGCACGAGCGTGAGCAGCATAGCGGACCCCAACAGTACCATCGTGAGCAGCACGACGGACTCCAGCAACACCAGCGTGAGCAGCACGACGGACCCCAGCAGCACGATCGTCAGCAGCATGACGGAACCCAGCAGCACGACCGTCAGCAGCACGATGGACTCCAGCAGCACGAACGTGAGCTGCATAGCAGACCCCAGCAGCACGCCCGTCAGCAGCATGGTGGATTTCAGCAGCAGCATCGTGAGCAGAAACACGGACTCAAGCAGCACGGCCGTAAAACAGCAGGACGGACTTCCGCGGCACAATCATGAGCAGCACAACGGACCACAGCAACGCATCCGTGAGCAGCACGACGGATACCAGCAACGCGACCGTGAGCAACATAATGAATCCCAGCAGAACCATCGGGAGTAGCACAACGGACTCCAGCAGCACGACCGTGACCAGCATGACGGACCCCGGCAGCACAATCGTGAACAACACAACGGACTCCAGCAAGACCATCGTGAGCTGTATTACGGACTCCAGCAGCACGACCGTTGACAGCATTGCGGACTTCAGCACTACCATCGTGAGCAGCACGACGGACCCCAGCAGCACGTACGTGAGCAGCACGACGGATTCCAGCAACGCGACCGCGAGCAGCATGATGGACCCCAGCAGCAACATCGGAAGCGGCACGACGGACTCCAGCAGCACGACGGACCCTAGCAGCACCATCGCAAGCAGCAAGGGGGACTCGAGCAACACCAGCGTGAGCAGCACGACGGGCTCCAGCAGCACGACCTTGAGCAGCATAACGGAACCCAGCAACACGACCGTGAGCAGCACGACGGATTCCAGCAGCACGAGCGTGAGCAGCATTGCGGACTTCGGAAGCATCATCGTGAGCAACATGACGGACTCCAGCAGCGCGACCGTACACAGCAGGGCGGACCACAGCAGCAGCAGCAGCAGCAGCACGACGGACTCCCGCAGCGCGTGCGCGCACAGCACGACGGATACCAGCAACGCGAGCGTGAGCAGGATGATGGGCACCAGCGCAACCACCGTAAGCTGCATTACGGACTCCAGCAGCACGAGCGTGAGCAGCACGGTGTGCTTCAGCAGCATCATCGTCAGCAGCATTGCGGACTCCAGCAGCACGGACTCCAGTAGCACTATCATGAGCAGCACGACGGACCCCAGCAACGCGCCCGGGAGCAGCACGACGGATTCCAGCAACGCGACCGTAAGCAGCACGATGGACTCCAGCAGCAGCATCGGGAGCAGCACCATGGACCCCAGCAGCACGAGCGCGAGCAGCATTGCGGACCACAGCAGCACGATGGTGAGCAGCATGACGGCCTCCAGCGATACTGTCGTGAGCAGCGCGACGCACTCCAGCAGCACGACCGTCAGCAGCATGGCGGACTTCGGCAGCATCATCGTGAGCAGCACCACGGACTCCAGCAGCACAAACGTAAACAGCAGGACGGACTCTAGCAGCACCATCATGAGCAGCACGACAGACTCCAGCAGCGCGTGCGCGAACAGCACGACGCACTCCAGCAACGCGACCGCGAGCAGCAATATGGACTTGAGCAGCAACATCGGATGCAGCAAGACCGTCTCCAGCAGCACGAACGTAAACACCAGGACGGACTCCGGCAATACACTCGTAAGCAGCATGACGGACTCCCGCAAAATCATCGGGAGCTGCATTACAGACTCCAGCAGCACGACCGACAGCAGCATGGCGGAGTTCAGTAGCATTATCGTAAGCAGCATTACGGACTCCAGCAGCACGACTGTAGGCAGCAGGGCGGACTCGAGCTGCAACATCGCTAGAAGCACGAAGGACACCAGCAGCGCGTCCGTGAGCAGCACGACGGACTCCAGCAACGCAACCTCGGGCAGCACGACGGACCCCAGCAACACCTCGGGCAGCACGACGGACTCCAGCAGCACGACCGTGGGCAGCAGGACGGACTCTGGCAGCACAGTAGTGAGCAGCACGACGGACTCAAGCACTACTCGCGTGAGCAGATCGACCAACGCCAGCAGCACCACCGTAAGCATGAACCCGGATTTCCGCAGCAGCATTGGAAGCAGCATTACGGACTCCAGCAGCACGACAGTAATAGCAGGACTGACTCCAGCAGCACCATCGCGAGCAGCACGACGGACCCCAGCAGCGCGTCCGTGAGCAGCACTACGCACTCCAGCAACACGGCGGACCCCAGCAGCGCATCCGTGAGCAGCATGATGGACTCCAGCAGCACCAGCGTAAGCAGCAATACGGATTCCAGCAGCACCAGCGTAAGCAGCAATACGGACTCCAGCAACACGACCGACAACAGCACGACCGTGAGCAGCAACACGAACACCAGCAGCACCATCGTGAGCTGCATTGCGGACAACAGCAGCACGACCGGAAGCAGCATGGCGGACTCCAGCACCAGCATCGGGAGCAGCATTACGGACTCCAGCAGCACGACCGTAGACTCCAGCAGCACCGTCGTGAGAAGCACGACGGATCCCAGCAGCGCATCCGTGAGCAGCACGACGAATTCCAGCAACGCGACCATGAGCAGCATGATGGACTCCAGCACCAGCATCGGAAGCAGCACGACGGACTCCAGCAGCACGACAGTGAGGAGTACGACGGACTCCAGCAGCAGCATCGTGAGCAGCGCGACGGACACCAGAAGCACTACCGTCAGCAGCACGACGGACTCCAACAGCACCATCCTGAGCAGCAAGACAGACTCCAGCAGCACGACCACAAGCAACATGACGAACTCCAGCAGAACGACCGTGAGCAGCACGACGGACTCCAGCAGCACCAGCGTAAGCAGCAATACGGACTCCAGCAACACGACCGACAACAGCACGACCGTGAGCAGCAACACGAACACCAGCAGCACCATCGTGAGCTGCATTGCGGACACCAGCAGCACGACCGGCAGTAGCATGGCGGACTCCAGCACCAGCATCGGGAGCAGCATTACGGACTCCAGCAGCACGACCGTAGACAGCAAGACAGACTCCAGCAGCACCGTCGTCGTAAGCAGCACGACGGATCCCAGCAGCGCATCCGTGAGCAGCACGACGGATTCCAGCAACGCAACCATGAGCAGGATGATGGACTCCAGCACAAGTAGCATCTGGAGCAGCACGACCGTCAGCAGCATGGCGAGCTCAAGCGGCAGCATCGTGAGCAGTAGGACGGACTCCAGCAGCACGAACGTGAGAAGCACGACGGGCTCCGGCAGCGCCATCGTGAGCAGCACGACGGACTCCAGCAGCACGACCGTGAGCAGCCCGAAGGACTCCAAAAACACCATCGTGAGCAGCACTACGGACTCCAGCAGCACGACCGTGGACAGCACGACGGACCCCAACAACACCACCGTTAGCAGTATGACGGACTCACGCCAGCAGCGGCCCCGACAGCGGCACCAGTACCGACCCTGGCATCGACTCCAACATCGACGCCAGCATCAACCCTAGCATCGACGCCATCACCCAACGCGGCATTGACTACAGCACCAGAGCGAGCATCTACGTCATCACCAACACCAGCAGCGACGCCAGCACCCACTCCAGCACCGACACCCGCACCAGCCTTCACGACAACATCGGAGCCAGCCGCCTTCCTACGTGGCCATCGACAGACACCACGGCTCCGACAGATGCACTTCGCCGACCACCCGCACGACGTCAGCCCCGACGCTACCACCGACAGCATGTCCGATGCACTCCCCGACCTTCTCTTCCGACGACCCCACCCGCGATCCACTCACGCTGGCACCGACACCACCACCGACCCGTCAGCGAAGACAGCAGCGGTGGCACCACCATCAACACCATCACCGAAGATGGCAAGACCACCAGCCCCGCGGCCAGCACCTGCGGCAATTACGTCATCACGGGCACCAGCATCTGCTCCAGCATCGACGTCAGCAGGGCTCCGAGCCTGGCACGACTGCTCGCTCCTGGCGCTCCACACCGACGGACGCAGCAGAACTTGGAGCAGCACGACGGACTCCAGCAGCACGACCGGGGACAGCAGGACGGACCCCAGCAACACCATCGAGTGCAGCACGACGGACCCCGGCAACGCGACCATAAGCAGCATGATGGAATCCGCGAAGCATCGTGAGCAGCACGGCGAACTCCAGCCTCCAGCAGCACGACCGTGAGCAGCAGGACGGACCCCGACAGCACCACCGTGAGCAGCACGACGGGCGCCATCAGCGCCATAGTGATCAGCACGCAGCACGACCGTGAGAAGAATGACGGACTCCAGCGGCAGCATCGTGAGCAGCACGACGGACTCCAGCAGCACGATCGTGAACAGCATGGCGGACTCCAACAGTACCATCGTGAGGAGCACGAAGGCCTCCAGATCCTCAGCACCAGGGGCGGCGGACACCAGCATCATGACGGCGCCACACCCGCCCCCCACCAGACGCCCAACCCAGCGACCAGCAGCAGCACCGCGTACGCCGCGACCCCGCCCGGCAGCCGCGCCACGACTGCAGCCAGCAGCACTGCCATCAAGGCGGGGACCACGAGGCGAATGGCCTGCATGGCGAGCAGCAACCAGCACCAGCACCCTCCCCCTCCTCCTCCTCCTCCTCCTCCTCCTCTCCTCCTCCTCCTCCTCCTCCTCCTCCTCCTCCTCCTCCTCCTCCTCCTCCTCCTCCTCCTCCTCCTCCTCCTCCTCCTCCTCCTCCTCCTCCTCCTCCTCCTCCTCCTCCTCCTCCTCCTCCTCCTCCTCCTCATCCTCCCCACCCGCCCTCGCCCTCGGGCCGCGCGACGCACGGCTCCCCGAGGCGAGGACGAGGCCGCTCGCACGGAGACGGGCCGCGGGGCGCCACGGGGGCTGCGCGGCATGCCCGGCAGCGCCCTCGCGCCCACCACGAACGCCACGAGACAGCGACACCCACATCCCGGGGACGCCGGCGGGCACCAGAAGCAGAAGCAGAGGAGCAAGAGAGAGTCCGAGCGATCCACACAACCAGGGGGACAGCCAGGCAGACGAGGAAGCAGGGACATAGGCACCAGCAGCGGATGGGTGGTCAAGGGCAGCCAGGCGGGCAGCTATGCGGTCAATGAGCCCTGGGTCGGTGACGGACTTCTTGAAGTCCTGCTCCGCTGTAGGGCTCAGGGCGGGGACGAACGAGAAGATGCTGGGCTGCGCCTCCTTTTCCTTTTTCTCCTTCTTGTCATCTCTCGCCTTTTTGGCATGCGTCCTCAAATCGCTGTAGTAGAAGTGTTCGGTCCTGTCCTTCCTGGCCTTTTTGTTTTTCTTCTCCCTGTGGCCGTCTGGGTGGCCTTGATTGAGCTTCCTCTCAGCCAGGCTCGCCATGCCCGCTCGCAGCAGTTGGACTTCCAGCGCAGCTTCGTATTCCGCTTGGGAGCAAGCCCAAATCTCGGTCTGAGAGGCGACAGCGGAACAGCCCACCTCCCCAGTGTGCGTGTGGGCGTCTGCGACGCCGTACTTGCCGACAACGGGCGCCTCCTGCGGGACCAGCTTGGCCTCCATCTTGTCAAGCCTCGCAATCAGGGTGTCGTTCGTCTTCTGGAGCGCGACGGCCAGGGCGCACAACTCCGCAGCAGTCTCCACGCGCTGCTTGATGCCCTGCGTGGCGGTGGCCACCGAGGCCATCTGCTCGAGGATGCGGCGCTGACCATCATCCTGGGAACCCTCTGAGCCACCAGGAGCTCCAGCGGCGCAACCGTGCACACGCTGATCATGGTCGTCGTGCTCGTGGTCTGGTTCGGGGCCGCTCGCCTCGCAGTGCAGCGAAGCCAGGTCGCACTGGGAGCACGCAGGGAGTTCACCACGAACTCAGGGTCCTCCAGCCAGTGTGTCGCCGTCGTTCGAGATAAGCTCATCTAGGTCGAAGTTGATGTCATCTGGGATCGTGGGCTGGTCGCCCAAGACCGCGTCGAGCACCGGCGCCGCAGGGTCATCTCCAGCTTCAGGATCTCCACTTCCCTGTGCAGGGTCAGGAACCAGCTGAGGGACGACCTCCACCGCATGCTCGTTGAACTGAAATTTCCTGCGGTGTGGTGTGCCCGTACAGGGCGGGGCCACCGGTGATGTCGCGCGACGTTCCCAGTGAGCCGGATGCGGTTCATCTTGGCGTAGGTGTGGGGGTCGAGGTCACCCGTCGCCAATGCTGCATCAAGAGCGTCACTTAGTTGTCGGTGGTGGGGAAGCCCGAGCTCCACCTCCAAGCAGCGTGACAGCCTCGTCGAAAGCGCCAGCTGCTGGACCCTGAGCGCCAAATCGGCGTCTCCCGGCGGAGCCACAGCGTTCGGGCTTGAATAGCATGCGAGAAGCGATAAGATATCTTGACCGTTAGATTGTGCGCACGCCCGAACTTGCGCATGGCACCAAACGCGAAGTTCGATGTTGGAACACGTTGCCGGTCAGAAGCCACCATGACGGGCAAACACGTAGCACCAGGGGGGAACGCTGAGCTGTCAAAGCGCACCTCCTGTCGGCCTTGAGCCAAAATGGCTACGGAAGGAGGAGGAGGAGGAGGAGGAGGAAGAGGAGGAGGAGAAGTTTGGGCAGGGTGCAGCGGGGGAGGGAGGTGGGGGGGGGGCGGGGGGGGTGGGGGGGCAATTAGTCCCCCTTCGGCAGACCACCAACTGGTTCCCCCCCTTGGGCCTCCCGGCCTGCCCGCCCCCCGCGCCTCCTTTGGTGGTCCACCCTTGGGGGTCCGCGCGCCGCCGGGACCGCGGTTCTCCATCGCGTCTCTTTTGTCCCTCCCTCGCTCGGGGTCCCTCGGTTCGCCTCCCTTTTCGGTCCCCCTTCGTGCCGTCTCCTTCTCGTCCCGCTCGCCGGCCCCCCATCGACCGTGCGTGCTGCTTTCCATGAAGTCCCCCCTCGCACACCAGACGGTGGGGCGGGGGGGGAGGGCGTTGGCTGCGTTCGACGAACCCTATAGCCGTCAGTAACCAAGAACCAAGAGGAAGAGGAAGAGGAACCAGGAACCAAAAGGAGGAGGAAAAGGGGAAGACGACGAGGATGCCACGCTGCACGCAGGCCTCCAAGAGGTCGGCCTTGGTGTCCACGTCGTCGATGCAGTCGATGACCACCGCAGGAGCTGAGCCTGGCCCCGCCGAGGTGCCCAGGAGGCGCTCCGCGCTGGAGGCCGTGAACATCTCGTCGCGCGCGTCGACAGCGCAGCCAGGCGCGGCCGCACGCAGGTGCGCCGCGCACGCGGCCACCTCCACAGAGGGAAGCCCAAACCTTAACCGCCCCTACTGCCGCCACCGGATGGCAACCCGTGCAAAGCCCCCTCGGCGGTGCTGACTCGAATGGCTCTGAGCACCCACGGCCAGGAGCCAAATCTGCCAAAGCGGATGCCACGCGTACATGGCAGACTCGGCCAATGCACGGACATCTTCGAGATTTTTCTATTTTTCGGTGATAGTCTGGCGCATCCGATGGGCGAGAAAATGGAGAGGTGCCAGCCGATAACCTACCCTTTTCTCTTTGGGCAGCTCCACGTATGCCCGCGCGCACACTGCGTACCCCCTTCGGACCTGCGCAACAGACAAGGTCCGATTATCCTGGAGTGGAGGGAGGGCGGGCCCGATAACCTTGGTGATCGGCGGACCCGAAAGAAAACTGTCTCCTCGGAGGCGCCCAGACTTCCTCGAGCAAGGGAGGGGGGCGGATGGCAAAGGAACTGTCCTCCTTGTTACCTACAGCGAGACGCCCCAATGCCGCCAGCGAGCGTGCATGGGACGGGCGGGGAGGAAGCCTCACGGCATGCCCTGACATCCGCCGGCCCCAGAAGTCCTGGCCGCTTCCCTGGGGACAATTTTTTCGCCCCGGATCTGTTCTTGGTGGCGCTGGGGCCCGACAGTGGACCCCGAGGGCCAAAATTCTCGACAACAAAACGCTAGTTGGTCAAATCATATCGCGGGAGATCTGGGCTCGTTCTCTCACGACATCTCCGTCTCGACGGGGCTCGACGTCTCCACTTCTTCGATGCCACTGCATCAACAAGTGTTTTATGGTGTGCGATGGCATGTAAACTCACAGTGAAGCAACAAGAGGGGAAGTTGCGGAGCACGCAGCGGCTTATGTTACGGCGAATGGTCGGACCCAAGAAACATGCAGACGGACATTACGTAACTCGGATCAAGCGGGCAACGAACGTTGTAGCGTCCACGGCCAAAAGAAGGCCAACGTACTGTGCTGGGTCGAAGTTTTCTTGCAAGTAAGATGGCGATGGGCGGGAAAGACTGCGAACATGCCTATGGACAGGTTGCCAAGACAGGTGACAATATGGAGACACCACGTATGCTGGAAAACGCAGTCTGAAAGTACCCTATCGTGCCCACCCCTGCTCACGACCAGGATGCCCTGTCAGCTGGGCACACGATTTGGTGACTTCCGCTACCGAGGGATATTGGGAATCGTGGTTCCAAACTGCAGCAAATCTGGACGTGTGGGGCGCAGACGAACAAGAGTACAGTCGAGACAAGGCCACAATAATGTGAACCAAGAGCACGATCCCCTTCCCCAAAGGCAAAGGCCCCCATGGAGATACGATGAATGAAGCACATCCTAAGGTGTGGGGGCCCAACGGCGAAGAATATAAGGACAACCCGCCGAAACCCAGGATGTGTTTCGCCCTCGTGCCAGCTGCACATGAGCACCCGAAACACCGAGCCAAGCAGTTTTGCCTTCTGGTCATCTCTAGGGCCCGCGCCCCAGCAACGGTGCGCCAGTCACACCCGCACGGGCCGCCGGCTTCAGACCTGCGATGGCAGACTTCGCTTCGCGAAATTGGGGGGACTCTTCGCATAGCTCACGGGCAGCTGCCGCCAGCGGCAGCGGCGCCAGCAGTTTGGCGGCGGCCGCGTCCAGAACCCCGCGGGCCTTCGGCGTCCCGACGTCGCTGCGGGTGGCGACCGCGTGCCTGCTCCGCCCTCCGCCATCCGCCACTTGCCCTCCGCCGCCATCCCTCCGTCCTCTGTGCTTGCCTCCCACCTTCTTTCCTGCCTTCGCCTTGTTTCCTTCCTCCCACCTGCCTCCCTCCGCCTGCTGCTGCTGCTGCTGCTGCTGCTGCTGCTGCTGCTGCTGTTCCTCCTCCTCCTCCTCCTCCTCCTCCTCCTCCTCCTCCTCCTCCTCCTCCTCCTCCTCCTCCTCCTCCTCCTCCTCCTCCGCCTCCGCCTCCG